TCTCTCCAACTTTGTGCCCCAATATTTTACGCCATTCTTTTTCGCCTCTAAATCTACGATAATAAAACTCAATAGGGCATCTATTTATTAAATACTGCGCTTAACTACCATCTACAATCCATGCACATTTTCCTAAAAAACACTACTTTCGCAATTACATGACAACAATAACTCTGCAGGAGCAGTGTGACTTCATCAGATTTCCGACTTAAAATCAACACTCCTTATCGGAGATGAGCATACGCAGCGCCCTATTAATTAATGTCTTCACGTTATTTAGAAAACTTAAGCATGCTACCCTGTTTGCTCAGCTCCGATTTCCATCATCTAATATCCTCCGGCTTATTTAACTTAAACATGAATCTGCATGCAGTCAATTAGTATCTCTTGCATTATGAGGCCTATAGACATTTTCTCTGTATCTTTTCCTTGATTAGGCTCCGAGAACTAACATTTTTACAATAAAGTCGGCCCATAAAATATCTATTATATCTGCCTATGTTTACAACAAAGAAGTAAGATAATGTTATGGACTTCAAAGCCTTTTTTATCTCATTCTTTAAATTCCTCCATGTAATTCATAAACATAATTATAAGGAAGTCTTAAACTCTACATGTTTATTTAGTAATTAATCGTATACATTATTATTCTGCTACAAAGGAATGTTTATGTAGTTTATTCTAGGTAATGCAGTACTCAGAAATTTTAAAAATGGGGTCCTTACGTGTAGACATGTATTATAGCACAAACCATTAAAGGTTAGGGAACTAGAATATTTTGCAAGCTAAACATAGTAATTTATATAAAAATGCTATTAAATATCTAAATTAATTAAGTGAAGAATTGATTGTTGCTAAATTTGTGTAGAAATATAGGTAAATACGTTTTTGATCGTTATTTACCATCCTAAAGTCTAAATATTATCACGTAATAAAATGATAAGAATTACTAGCGTGTATGAATGAATCAAGCTAACTCAATTTAGCTATTAAATTTAAAATATAAATTAACTAGTTTGATTATGTTTAGCAAAACATTTTGTTTGAGTTTCCCTACGTGCGTAACATGAATGTTCTATGCCGGCTCATGATTATTTAGGTTTCCACTCGTCTTGTTCTATCCTTTTCTTTTATCCACCTTTTACTCGTCCCTTACACATCAGTATTTTTATGATGGCTTTAGTCGAATATTATAGCTGTCATTTTTAGGGCTACGCTAAGCATGTGTCCGTAACCTTCCCTCCGTAAACATGCTACCTAATATTTTCTTGTAAATTGTCTTTTACTGTTGTACTTTTATTCTTTTTTATGCTTGTTTTTTACTTATATAATTATATTGGATCTATATCTTGGCTTTTACGGATGTAATTTTTATGAAGGTATTTTGGCAACTCAAATGGCCTCCAAAGCTGCCACGCAACGCTCTTCTGCTGTGTCTCAAAGCCACGTATTCTCCAAACAATCTGATACATGCCATTTTATCTTAAAAAATAAATTGCCTGACTGTCATGTTTTTGGCTGTGCTCCTAGCAGGAAATTATCAGTGAACCATTTATGTGCCGAAACTCCTGACAAAGTGGATATGTATTTCTATGATAGTGAACCGACTATTTCCAATGGAACACATTTTGTTCCTAAGCCGGAGATGGAGCAAGTTCAGAGTGCAAAAACTCGAGACGATCGCCGAGATAGGTCTCGCAATGCGAAGGCCATCTCTGATTTCCCCAAGGACAAATCACTTGCGGCAAGTGCGATATTCAGAAAATCCGAAATTTTGACACCAGAGCATGCTTTTGTGCAATATCAGACGCGCTCAGATGATCAGACCTGCCAGGTATGTGGTCAGCCAGCTGTAGGATTTCATCATCGCGCTTACGTTTGTGAAGCATGCAAAGTAAGTACATCATTCGCCGTATGTTTGGTATTCGTATATCCTTGTATTAGTTATTGGCTATTTTGCTTCGAAGGAGAGTTGTCAAAGTACTTTTGCAGCAATTTTCCACTTTTTCAGATTATACATGGTCAAATTATAGTCATTTTCGCTATATTTTTTATTCTTAGGGCAGTATTCTATACATGAAAAATTGAGTGAATATGAACTTTAATAAGTAGCCTCTTGTCTCA